TATATATATATATATATATAGCTTTAAACCAGATATAAAAAAAAATCTTTTCCAAATATGCATCTAGATGTTTTTAAATACCAAGGAAATATCATTTGAACCACTTTCGACAGTTTTAAATATTAGATTCGTTTTACATATTGAAAACATTTTTCAATTCTTGTACTTTATATAACTGAAAACATTCCAAGGAATTGTGTTAAATTGGTAATGTCAAACTAATCAGTACTCGTATTTTTCACAATCCTGAAATATTTGAAAATATAGTGGTTCTTTAACTGTGTTAATCGAAATAAAAAGGATGGAATTTTTAATTTAAAATCTGCGGTCTTTATTATACGAAACCATTCAAAACATGAGTGATTAAAATTTTTAATATTTTATTAATTTTTATAAACTGCGTTTACAGTGAATTTTCAAGAATAATTTCGTAAATGGAGAATATATACGCTATTATTACAATTTTTAAGTGATTTTTTTTAAAATTATTAAATTTATATTTTTATGAAAATTTTCTGTCTTAAAGAAGAAAAAAACAGGAAATTAGGCTCCTTTTTCTACTTTATGAATACATTCTTTACAACCTTAAAATCTCAGATACAGTCAAAAATTGGCAAATGTCTTATAGTTTAATTAAGTAAATCAATTTAGGCTCATAAAAACACTTATTATTTATTTTCCGCCTACTTCTAATGAAGAAGTTACAATTTTTTATGAGTCGATGCCGTTACCCATATAGTGTTACTAAATGAAAAACGTTTTGGATAAAAATATTTTTTTTTCAGTAAATTTGAAACAGTGGCAAGAGAATTATGATGATAACTAACTGAAAATTTGTGTGTTTATTTCATGTAACATCAGAAATATTCCAAATTATTTTATTTAAAAATCACCACTTATTACAAAAAGTTTACTACCACTTTTACAAATTTCCCAAATGTTTTTTGAAGCAAACTCATAGTGACTAAAATAAAATGCTCTATTTTTGGTAAAAAATTTGAAAACCTCTCATCTTTTAGGTAATACATTATCTCATTAAAATTGTGACGGTATGTTTAAGTTTGATTGTAATTGAATGACCCTTTAGTACATTTCCCCTGAAATTTGATTTTAATATTTCCCATTTGAATACTAAAAAGTTTCACAATGATAAAAAATCATTAGCAGTTGTAATTACATTTTATATAATAAATTGGTGTTGATTATCATATGTTTGAAAATTAATATTTTCAACAAATAAAATGATAAAAAAATTTTGGGTTTTAAAAGCCGACGTTTAAAAATTTTCTATAATATTTGAGGTTATTGATTTATAAAAATTAATATTTTGGAATTGGATATTTATAACATCTTCTAATTATTTTCATAAAATAAAAAAATTTAATTTTTAAAAAAAGGGTATGATTTTGAATTTTGAATTAGTTAAAAAAACAAGAAAAACTACTAAGAAATAAGTCAAAAAAAGTCTTTTTAATCCAGCTTTTCCCAAACTGGGGGGGGCCCCCTAGAGGGGTCATAACCCCCACAAGGGGGCGGGATTTTGAAAAGTCGAAAAAAAAAGTTTATTTAAAATTTTTAAATTTGGGACTAAAAAGTAGACAAACAAAATATTTTCCCCGGGACATAATTAAATAAAAAAATACACATTTAAAACCGATATAATATATTAAAATGTTTTGTATCGCACATTATTTTTTAAAATTTAAATTTAACTATACAAATTTTAAAACAAGTTTAATAATTATCAGTGACCCCATGGGTTTGTCATTTTGAAATATTTGAAAAAAATCAACACTTCCCTTTGGGATAATTTGTAATGGTTTAAAAATTAAACCCCTTTCTTTGGGTTTAAAAAATTAGGAAATTGCTCCCCAATGGCATCGTTTTCCATGTACATGCATGTTTTGGGGAAGGGATGAAAATTTATAATTTAATAAATAAAACCTTCGGGAAATAAGTAAACCCTTTCCCGCAAAACTGTCCTCTTTTATTGCATTTAAAAAAGTCTTGGAAAAATTTATAAATAGAAGAGGGAAAATCGGTTTTTGGAAAGACGTATATATACGCCCGGGGGAAATTAACGTTTTGTTGAGGGGAAAATTTTTATATACGCCGGTGGAAACTTAAGAGGTTAAAAAGTCGTATTGTAGCTTTTGCGTCAAAGTAAATATTTTTGAATTCAATACATTGTTATTGTATGGAGGGGGGCGCGATAAAAATTATGACTGAAAATTGGGTCACAAAAAAAAAAATTTTGGGAGAAGCACCCCCGTAAACTAAAAAAAAGGGAACTCGACAAAAATATTAAAGTATTGATTTTTTTTAAATTTAGTAATTTAATAGGATAGTTCCCACAACAATTTTAAAAAAACACCCTTAAATGGATTTCTCCAATTTCTTTCTCTTCTTTTTTTTTCTTTTAAAATTTGATATTATTTTTATTCTTTTTTTGATTACTTTTTTAGTTCACATGTTGTTTTTAGTCATGTCTTCTTGGTCTACTTCAAAAGCTCTCTCCAAATTTGTGTTTTAAGGATTTTAAATCAGGGATTAAGATAATGTTTTAAAACTTGGGGACAGTTATAGAGACACCAGAATTGTACGTTGAAGGCAAAAGTGAAGTTGTCTCCAATGGCCAAATTTTGGGTAAATAATTTCAAATTTTTTTTTAAATATTTAAATAAAGCTCATTATTTACAATACCATCAATCCTGAAGCTGACATGCACTCCTACACAAGTATACCTAAAATTTCCTGATTAACTTAATTTCATGATTAACTGTTCCAACTAAATTCTTGGGATTATAAGTTACTTGTTTTTCTTCTCTTCTCTCTTTATACGCCTATCAGAGCCAAAAATGTTCAATTTGCTCTTATCTGCACATAGGATATTATTCCAATATATTTTAGGTTTGTTTTATCATGGATTTAGCAAAGGAAAATCGAAGCTTTCCATTTTCCTTTGTTAAATCCATGATAAACAAGTCTGAAACGTTTTGGAAAGATGTTGGAAGGGTATTTTTCGCTCATCCGAAAAACTTCTTCTAGCTCTAGGCTTAAGTAATCCAACTGATCTGAGTACTCTTCGAACACTATTAGATGAAACTAAAATAAAAAATCTTTCAGCTTATTCTATAGAAACTTTTGCCGTACTCAACTGTGAGTTTATGATAAATTTTCTGAGCAATAAATCGCTGATAAAAGTTAACTTCCTTGGACCTCTTTTTCTTAGTTTTTTCATTTAATTTCTACTATTAGTTCACCATCTCTCTATGTACATAAATCTTGTTCAAATTTTCAATCGATAATAAAATACTTTCTATTCATCCATTCCAGATCAAATATATTTTTTTAAACTTGTAGGGAATGACACTTTGTTAATATAGTTTTTACAAATATTAGTTCATTATTTAAACTTAATTAATGAATAAGTTGTAACAAACGAAAATAATAGTCCAACACCCTATAAAAAAAGGAAAGTCGCTCGTTGTATCTCTGTAGCGCAATGGATAGCTCGTTGGACCTCTAATCCAAAGATCGTAGGCTCTAATCCTACCTGGGATGTCCTAATTTCTGAGAATGGGGTTTATGAATGTATAAATAGTAATAAAACAAAAATAATAGTTTTACACCATTAGAAGGAAGGAAATTCGTTTTCTATATTTCCACTTAATATTGTGATTCTATCATATGTATACACATATTTATATTAATTGTAACAGTATAATAAAATGCAACTAACATAAAAATTTTCTTTGTTGCCCAATAAGTAAGAATTCACTTTATTTTTTTTTATATTACTTGTTTTTGGTTCTGATTTGTTTAAAACTCTTTTTCCCATACTGCAATATCGAATAAGGAGCATTTATTAATATCGCAATGCTCTGAAATAATTTACCTTGATATAAGTAAAAAAAAATCCATTTTCGAATGCTTTTCTTTGCCTCTTTGCGACTACAAACTATTTTTAGATTATGCAAGTATAAAAGAATATATTTAAAAAAACACTTAGCAAAGATTTCAGTGAACAATTTTTTGTATGTCGTCGGAATGTGGAAATGGAAAGAAGCAACAGACGATATTTTTTTTATTTATTTATTAAGGAATTCCTCCCCCAAATGTTTTGGTGTATTTTAATTTTTATGGCTTTTTTCTGACTGCATTTAGTTTCTTTAAGCAATTAATAGTCGACAACAAAATAAGTTTTATAAAAAAATTGTACATAAAAGAACTCTTTTGAGACAGATTACTGTGCATTTTTCCTTCCTTTTACCACTCACAATTATGATTATTTTATTTCGTATCTTTCGTATTCAAGAACATAATGTGTAATAATTTAAAATTCAAATGTAAATAAAAAATTCATGAAAAATATTTTATTGGACTACATTTTTCAGATTTCATTACACTTTTACTGTATTTTCTATATTTTAGTACATTAATTCCACTATCGATGAAAATATTTCGGTGTATTTCAGTAGATTTAAAAGAAATATTGTTCAAATGAAATGTATACAGAATTTTTGAAATACCGTTAAATAATATAGTACATAACAGCATTTTGTAAGTTAAGGTATCCGACTAAGTTCGTAACCCTGATTTTAAAAAAACGTATAAATGGATAATTTTCATGATATTTAGTGTCACTTAGATTAGAATACATGTATAAAATTGTTTTAAGGACATTTTGATAAAAAAAATTATTTAAATACAATATTTCAGCAAAAAATTAACTGAGAATAATCTTTTTTCAAAATGTTCTCCTTTTGTGAAAAATGCTTCTATTGTAATAATATTTTGCCTGTATATAGCTCAGACCTCTGTACAGAGGCTCAACTATGATTTTTGAAAAATTCATATTATTTTCAAGTTACAACCATTTGAAATAATTATAGACGTTTTTTTTCTTAAAATTTCTCCCCTCTGTTGTCGTAAAACATGGATAAACCCACTGCTAAGTTATATATTTCAAAAATTCGAGTTGAGCCTCTGTACAGAGGTCTGAGATATATATAGGCAAAATATTATTATAATAGAAGCATTTTTCACAAAAGGAGAATATTTTGAAAATGGGTCATTCTATGTTCATTTTTTGTCAAAATAGTGTACTTAAATATTTTTTATTGTAATACTATCCTTAAAACAATTCTATATACATTTTCTAATCTAAGTGACACTAAATATCATAAATATTATCCATTTATACGCTTTTGCAAAATCACAGTTCCGAACGTAGTCGGATACCTTAAACAAATAAAAAATTTCCGAAGACTTACACTTATATATATATATATTATATATATATATATATATATATATATATGGAAGGTAATTTCATATTTTAAAATTCATTAAATAATCTTATTTTAATATTTTTCTTTTCTACTCTCTATGCATTGGCGTAACGTACAACACCCTCATTGCGGGGGAGGGGAGGCAGGATTCTAAGGGGCCCAAAACCTAACTGACGCCAAGTGTTTATTCAACCAATTTATAAAGTATTAAAGACAAAACCTGACTTTGCGGGGGGGCCCTAATATTCTCCACCACTGTCTCTATGTACCAATATTTCATTAAAAAATCTAAACTGAAGAGCAAGTATTTAAGTTTATTCGCTAGGTATAAACTTACTTTTATACATGCGATCAATACGTAACATGATAAAATATTGATAAACCAGAACAACTTTTATTTTACTAATATCATTAAAAGCCATTATAAATTTTCCATTTTTTTACTTATCATTTAAAAAAGAAAAAAAGTTTTTGTTTGTTTGTTTGTTAAATGCATGATAATATTTTTTTTTCGTTGCAAAGCAAAAGAAATATTCTTTTAAAAGCTTAATATATCTCTTTGTTTTCAACTTTTTTCGCTCTTAAGCAAAAATATTGATAATTTTTGCTACAGCATACAGAAACATAAGATAAAAAAATAAATTAATCTATCTGAGGAAAAATATACCTCCAAAGGCTTAGAAATCATCAATGTTTTTCCTTCTTCCAAGATATAACAGTAAAATTTTGATATTCATTGCTAAATAAAAGGGGACTTTCTTTAACGTACTTGAATCTTTATCAATTTATGTATTTTCGATCTCTCTTTTTATAAACAGTCATAGGTGATAATAGTATTTTTAAATATAATTATTAATCAACTTTAAGGATAAAATATTATTAATATAATTAGTGGGTGAAAACTATTAATCACATACGTGAAATACAATAAAGTTACGAAATTTTACTAGTATACGCATTTAAAAGTTCTGCTTCTGAAAAACATATTATTGTAAAATATGGAGTACATTTTAAGTTTTCAAGTATTTTTTTACATATTAATATTTATTTTATCAACAAGAGAAAAATAAACGACGATGGAATTCTTTGATAAATTAAATGAAACCTTTCACTCAAATGAGAAATTAGAAGACTATTTTAAACAAGTTTAATAAAAAAATAGAGGTACGTTAAAAGGTCGATATGCAACAGGGGGTGGGGGGACCTTTATGGATCAACGTACCATTTTTTACCTACAGAAATGTAATGACGTACAGACGTGCCGTCAAATAATTTTGACTAGTGATTATTGGGAAAATATAATATAAAACTAAATACTAACAACTCAATACTCTTTATTTACTGCGAAAAAGTACATTTCGTACTAATAGTAGTAAATGTTTTAGTTATATGTGTAATTCAAATTAAAATAACATTAGTATGACTTCTGTTGTTGCAGATTAGATGACAAGTAAGTTATATTAGGATTGTAAGATGTTATATACTTTTAGCAGAATGCATGCTGAATTGGAGTCATCTGCCAAATGGTTCCTAAGCAAGTCTTAAACGTTATTTATCTCTAAAAATAATGACCTACAAGTATAAGTAGATGAAAATATGGTCAAAATAGTCTGAGCCATCTTTTTCAAGCAGTTAAGTATGTTTGGGATCGAATTCTATGTTTAAAAAATTTCGTTAATGGTATTTTTACGTATATTGCTTGTTAATCTCTCTGTTTCAATCAACTTCAACTTTTTCCTTATTTCAATAAATTTTTGAAGCCATATTGAACTAGACTGGAAATCAATCAATAGCATATCAAATTCTTCGATTTTTAACCAATCGAATTGGAATAAGTTTAGTCTATCAAATGAAGTCACATCAAGGTACATAATAAACTTGGTCGTTTCTGATAATTCTTTGAACTCAGAAAATCTCGCTAAAAAGGTAAACCATTTTGATCTGTGCGTGCCCAAAATATTGTATCGCGTGCCATCAATGGCACGCGTGCCATTGGTTCGCCATCCCTTGTATACAATGTGGTTCCGAATTCATGATAAAACTTTAAAGATAGGTACATGACATTGTAACAATCATTTGTTGTATAAGAATGTACGGGTGAAAGTGTCACGGTGACGCACAAACACAAAAAATAAGAGACGAAAAGAAATACAAAGTGTTTATTGAAAGCTTTGTTGAAAAATGTAAACTTTACAATAATTGTTCAGCACATGAGCTAAGAAGTCAAACTGCTGCGTACACTGCTGTACTTCCCAATGGCAGTTGGAAATAGTCTGCAGGATTCAAAGCTTGTACTCGCTGAAAACGGGTGTAAGCGATTTTCGTTTAACACTGTACAAACGGTCTGATAACTCACGCTTACATGATGAGCAACAGTTCTTGTACTTGACTTGGGTTTATCAGCCACAACATTCAAAAAGCTTTCTTCCAGGCTTGCACTGCATACAGCTCTTCGTTGACCAGCATCAATGTCTGGTGACATAGAACGAACGTGTTTCACGAAGTTCACGATGTAACCCAGTGATTCCCAAAATGGTCTATGACAGCCTACAAAGGGTCCATGCTAGCGAAAAAATGACTAGGGGTCCATGAGATGTAAATGAGGGTCTACGATACTGATTCTCAATAAACCAGATCATGACTTTGATCTTTAAAAGAAAATTTCATGAAATAGAAACCAGATTTACCTATTTAATAGATTTATTTATAATTTTAATGAAGTTAATATGCACTTACAAGAACCGTCATTTCGGCATTTTTGCCAGAATTAAGCTAGGAGTTAATATTGGACGTCCTGAATTTTCCTAGTTTCTCAATTTGTCACACACAATCTGCCAAGAAAAAAGACGTTTTAACCTAAGTTCAAAATTTAAATGTCCTTTATTCAGATTTTGAAACTAGGTTTGAAAATGCTTTGACTACGGTAATGAATTAATATGGTCACATTGAAAGAAAAAACAAGTGTCATATTACAAGAGGAACTGATCGGAATAGGCACTAAGAAGATCTTAAAGTAGAGTTTAGAAACGGATATCACACACACACATACACGGCAATTTCGGAAGCACCAGATTCATTCCTCCCATTAAAAGCAATTGTTTGTTGCTCACTTATTTTATGTAAGAGTTATTTTATGTATTAATTAAATTTTAATTTAATAACCATGTGTGTGTTAGATTTTAAACATTATACTTCACTATAATTAGAAATTTAAATCTTTTAAACTAAGTATAGCTCTATACCAGATGTCAAAAAGGCATTTAAGTTGAT